GTGAGTGCGCCGGCTGGTGGCAGCGGGCGGGCGAGCTCTCCCGCGTTCCGACGGCGTGGGGAGTCTGGCCTTCGGCCCGGATCTTAGAACCCTAGCGGCATCCTGCCTGGGCGGGGGAATTTGGGCCAGTGTGAAGGGACGCGGCCTCCAGGCGGCCGGGGGGACCGGGTGTGGGGGCGTCTCCCGATTTGGCCGAGGATCTGACAGAGGCGGAGGAGTTCGGGATGGGAGCGGCTCAGGATGGGCAATTGTGAAGCGATCTTAGCGGGAGAGGGGGAGCGCCCCAGGACTAGGGCAGGTCACGGTACTTCTTTGGTGAGGGCATTGAAGATCTGTGCTAGAACGAGGGGGCTCCATGCGGGCTTCCTGCGTTGGGTGCCAATCCAGGCCTGGAGGGCTGGCCTGCCCCTGAAGTAGCATCTGGTGAGAGTGTGGGACAACCAGACCTGACCTCTGGCGGGCAGGGTCCCACTTGGGTCCTGGGCTGGGATTAGAGCTAAGAAGTTTCGGGATTCTGGGGGTGGGGTGGGGGGCTGATCTGTGGTGCCTCGGGTTCAGAGGGGTTCAGTGATCTCCCCAACAGTGTTGCTTTTGGAGGTTTTGAGGTGTACCCCAGGGCCTTTTCTTTGTACAAAATGGCTGCCTCCTCAGGAAGGGGCCCGGGGCCTTCCACGCTGAGTCTAGGTGATAATGCAGAGACCTCACCCCTATGTGAGAATGACGGAGAAGGTGGAAGTCGCCCCAGACCTCTCCTAACAGATGGCATTTGGATTTCTTCCGGCCCGCGAATTCGGGGTCCTGTTGCTTTTTATTGTGAAAGAAAAAGCTCCAAACCTGAGGTACAACAGAAACAGACTGAATACCAGGGGGGCTCAGGGAGGAGGGCAGCAGGTTGCAGAGAAACATATCCAGGCATTGGTTAAAGTGGAAAAAACAGATTTAGGAACTACTGACAGTAGGGGAAAGAACTGAGCTCCATTTTGTGCAGAGGGACTGAGTGTTTCAGAGGAATGAGGTACAATAGTGTCAAGGAAACACGCAACTACAAAAATTAGAGACAGGGTTGGTCCGAGGGAAGCACATCTAGGTTTGCTTCTGGGGCTTAGCGAAGTTAGACTCCCATCCTCTCACAGAAGTTGGGAGTCAGGGGACCTATTTTTAACTGTTGGCTGTAATAAACAGGGACTCTCTTAGCAACTATTACCGGACGTTGTGATCTTTTGACCCTGGTCCAAGACTGGGCCACATACTGCAACGCACACACTTCTGAAGAGGGCAGGCTTTATTGGGAGAGAAAGGGGCTTCGGCCAAAGTGAGACTGGCTGAAAGGACGTAGCACTCTAGACTGTGACCAAGCTGCTGCTTCTAGAACAAAGAGAACAGACTTTTATTGCTTTGTTGAGGTGGCTGAAGTCTGATGTTTTCTATTGGTCAGGGGCATGGTTCCAAGAGATTCTGTCTTTCTTTCTTTCTTTTCCTGTGGTACAAGGGCGTGGGGGGGTGTGTCTGTGTGTGTGTGTGTGCATTGAACTCAGGACTTTGCTCTTGTGAGGCAGGCACAGAGTCACTGAGCTAAATCCCCCAGCCCTGTTTTCTTGTGAGCGTCTTGGACCACTGGGTAGTAACAGTAGAATTTTCCTTGAAGCTGTTGAATTTTGAATATCTCATGCTATCATCCTGAGCAAAACATCCTGGCCTTAGAACCTGAGGGTCATCCTCCCTGGGATGGGGAATTTGGGCTGGTGTGAGGGAATGTGACCTTGAGGTGGACTGGCCTCATGGATCTGAGAAAGGACCAAAGAACTTCGGGTATTTAGGCTTTTGTAGCTTCTAAACTAGCACAAGAGTAAGGGCAGAAAAGGGGGCCAGAGACACATTGGCTCCGATAGAGCAGTAGTGCAAGCTGACCTTTGTTAAGTTTTGGACATTTTTAAATGATCAACAGTTCTACATGCAGAGCTGAGTAAAATCTGACCCAAGGCTCAAGATGTAGCAGAGGAGAGACACAATATGAAGACAGAGGTCAAACTTATCCCAGTTTAGTCACCCCTTAGATTTCTGTAGACTCACATGAAGAGTGTTTTCACAGTAGTGGCCTTCAAGTCTCTGGGAAGTAACCCAGATAGCTGTTGTCCTAACCCTCACATCAAGGGTACTGTCTACAGGAAGCTCGTGTGTTTCCCAACTGTGTGACCTCCAAAACTACTGACTTTAAGTTGGCCAAGAGTAGTTCTGCCTTCTTCCCCTCTTCCCCTGCCCCCTTTCCCCTTCTTTTTCTTCTTTCTTCATGTTCCTTTTTCAATCAGTGCAGGGTTTTGAGCCCAGGGCCTTCACATGAAACTACATTCCCATCCATTCGTAAATATTTCACTTTGAAATGGGGTCTCACTCCGTCATTAAATCGCCCACCGTGCTGGAGACCTGAGGTGATCATTCATTTTACAGAGGAGGAAAGAGGCTTAGAGCCAAGTCCCATGACCCTCCTAAGGCTGAGCTTGGGGCTCCCCTGCCTCCCAGAGCTGCCTTTGAGGCTCTTCTCTCAGCCTCTGTCTACATTTTGCCAGTCTTGAGGAGACACTGCTCGTGGAACTAGCAAGTGAGGGCGGAGGCAGCTGGTAAAGTGCAGCAGTCCCTGGCCAAACCCCCATCCAGATCCAAGACCTCTACATTGGAAAAGACAGCAGTGGCCTGGCGGACACCGGTGTATACAGAAAAAGTGCAAGTGCCATTGGCGTGCACAGCATCTCCGCTCCATTCCTGCAGCTCCTTTCTTTTGACGACAGTGACTGGAGGCACCCAAAAGGTGGGATACAGCAGAGGTGGCCCTGGCGGGGGTGGCGGTCACACAGACAAGCTAATACCTCTGAGGGTCTTTGGTGGACATGGAGCACAGGAAAACTCTACCCTGAGCACCCCTTAGGCCTGGGAAAACACAGACTTGCAGGAGCAGTGACTTAGGTGCCCTGAACCCACCACCCAGGAAGTTCCACGTAGTGTGCTTGTCCTGACCATCCTACATCTACATAGGAGGCCTTCGCCCCACCCTGTCCAGGTGCGGAAGAAGGCAGGCCTTGGTGAAGTTTGACTGTGTTAGCCTGGATGTAGCAAAACACTTTACCACAAGGTTTGCAGAACATCAGCCCAGGGTGTCAGTGACCCATCCTAACTTAACCCGAGGGTGGCTGGGGGCCTCCATCCAAAGCTTTTTTGTTGTTTTTTTTTTTCAGATGGAGCCTCACTGTGTTGCTCAGGCTGGCCTTGAACTCCTAGGCTCAGGTGATCCTTTTGCCTCAGCCTCCCAAGTAGTTGGGACTATAAACACAGGCCAGTATTGCCACCACCCTCTGCTAACTGTCAGGCTTTTTTGTTTGTTTGTTTGAGACAGGCATATGCCATTATGCCTTGCCTGGCCCATTGCTAGGCATATTGATTGCCTCTTTTAGGTCTTGAGGACAAATGGTTAAGGGAGACAGTGGAGGTCACAGTTTGGAGTTTGGTCTTGGAGAGAGACTACCTCAGTGGGCTTATGGCAAGAAAGGGGATGGTGCTGGAATGCTCTTGTAGCCCTTTGCTCAGATCTGTGTGCCATCCGTGCAGAAATGGCTGTGACCCATCCCTTCTTGCCGCTCGATGCACATGGCAAAGGCTCATGCCAAGGAAGAGCTTGAGGTGGGCAGATTCAGCTATGATAAAGGCGGCTGCTTCCCCTGCTAAGCAAGGGAGGTGTGCATCCCTTCCAGGGGCACACTGCACCAGTGGGTACAGGCTGGGTGGGCGACAGGCAGCAGACAGCACTCGCCGCCCTGGGTGCCTGGGTTCCGTGGGGAGCTGGAAGCGGCGGTGGTTTTCTGAGTCCTGCTTCCTCCTCAGGAATGGCGCGTCCCTTTCTCCTTTATGGAGAAAAGCGGGCCCGTGTAGGGTTTGTTTTTAAATTGTTTGTCCCACCACTGCTTTTCTTTTCTTCTTTTTCTGCTGGGCTGGGAATGAACCCAGGACCTTCCACATGTGAGGCAAGAGCTGAACTCATTTGTTTTAAAATAGACAGTACTTATAATTGACCTTCTTTTTTTTTTTTTTTTTTTTTTTTTTTGGTACCAGGGATCAAACTCGGGTCTTTGTGCTTGAGAGACAGGTGGCAGAACCACTGAGCCAAATCCCCGGCCCTAATGTACCATTTCTAAGCGTACAACTCATTGGAATGTTAAGCCTAGACTCCCCAAGGGAACTGTGAAAATAGAAGCGTTTATTGAGCCATTTCAGATGCTGGCCAGAAAAAGGGAAGTGAAGACTGGGGACAAATTCCCCCACTCCCAGCACCAGCACCACGTAACAGTTAAGAAATGTCCACTGGAAAAGAGCTTTCTTCATAACTTTGGGGAAGAGCCAGGTGTGGTGGTATACACCTGTAACCCCAGCACTCTGGGAGGCCGAGACAGGAGGATTACCAGGTCAAGTCCAGCCCAGGCAACTTAGTGAGACCTTGCCTCAAAAAATAAAACAGCTCAGTGCCAAAGCCTTAGGCTCAATCCCCAATTTCCCCTACCCCAGTAACCTTCGGGGAAGAAAGCACCGTAATCTACATTGGTCACAGACAGGAAGGGTGGGTTAATTCACAGCGGGAGAATTCCGGGTAAGAGAGTCTAGTCTGTGAGGAGAGGTGCTTACTGCTCCTGAATTGAAGTTAAAAGTGCACTGCTGACCAGCAATGATGGGGTTGAAATCAAGGGTGCAACATTCAGGGATTTCTTTTGTTGGGGGACAGTACTGGGGCCCAGATTTCAAGGTGTCACATGTGCTAAGCGCAGGCCCTACCCGAGCCACACCCTTAGTTCCGGTTTCCACATACTGGGTATTTTTGTGGATTTTGCTAGCAGTGAGCTGTTAGCGGTTAACTGTATCTTCTTCTCTCTCCTACACTGTGACCTTTATAAATAAATTAGGACAACACTTTGCGAATTTTTCTTTTGTCATCAGACATTTACCACATTATGTAACCTTTACCAGAATTTACAGAACATTTTTATCATCCCAAACAGAGATTCTGCACCCATTACGCAATAATCCCCCTACTCTCCTCCCTTCAGCCTCTCTGGTAACCCCTAATCTCTGTCTCTGTGGATCTGCCTTTGGAGGCATTCCATGAATGTGAAATCTAGCAGTGTTTGTCCTTCTGTATCTGGCTTATCTCACTGGCGTAATATCTTGAAGTTCATTTGTGTCACTGTAACCGCAGATTTACAGTGTGGCCGCTTTTAGTGGTATAGCAAGATCGGACCAAGAAGAATCCAAACAAACCTGGAGGTTAGAGGCAAGTTTATTACACTGGCAGACTGGGGATTTCTCCACAAAGCAATCAGCCCAGAGCTGGCAGTGAGCAGGGTTTATGTGGGTTGGGGGAAGGTGGAAGCAAGCCATTTAAGATCAGTTCATTGGTTGAGGAAGTCACATTTAGTTGACATGATCTGATCAAAATGTATACTGGATACAGAGACTCCCTGAGAACAAAGGATAACGAAGGAGGTTGTGTGGTAGGTGTGGGAGGGTTCGAGCTGGGGGTGGCTCTTTGTTAGTGGCAGGAAAACCCTCTGGGGGCTCAGAAATCATTTTCTGTATCATCACAGCTGAGTAACAGTAATGACATCACTCACCTCTGGGCTGTTATGGCAGTGTGCTGGGATCGTGAGTGAACAGTGTCAGGTTGAGTCCCTGCTTTCTCCCTTTGTAGGTGAGTCTCCCTGTGTAGTTCACGCTGGCCCTGAACTCACTATGTAGCCCAGGTTGGCTTCGAACTCTCAGTGATCCTCCTGCCTCAGCCTCCTGAGTGCTGGGGTTACAGACTATATGTTCTGGATCTTGAACCTCATCAGATTTGATTTGCAAATATTTTGTCCCATTGTGTGGGTTACACTTTCCCTCTCTTGATAGTGTCCTTGGATGCCCAAAAGTTTTTAATTTTAATGAAATCCAGCTTATTTTTCTTTGATGCCTATGTTTTGCCAAATCCAAATCCAAGATCATTTACTTTTACTTTCATATTTTCTTTCAAGCTTTACAGGTTTTGTTTTTTTAACAGTCTCATTATGTAGTTCAGGCCGGCCTTGAACTCACTATGTGGCCCAGGAGAACCTCAAACTTGCAGCAATCTTCCTGCCTCAGCCTCCTGAGTGGCAGAATTACAGGCATGTGCCACCATACTTGGCAGTTCTAGCTATTAATGTCAGCAGGTCTTTGATCCATTTTGAGGTGTCTTGTTGTTTTTAGAATTTTTTGTATATAGTGTAATTTTTTGTTCATAGTGTAATTTCTTTTTCACAGATTGTCTTGGCACCCTTGTCAAAAATCATTTGATTATAGACATGAAGGTTTATTTCTAGACTCTCAATTCTATTCCTCTGGTTTGTATATCTGTCTTTATGTCAGTACCACACTGTTTTAATTACTGTAGCTTTCTTGTGAGCTTTAAATAAAAAAGTGTTAGTCCTCCAACTTTTAAAAATTTTTATTTCTATTACTACATATTCGCAGTACATAATAATTACATTCATCACGGGGAGTTGGTATGAGTACATAATGTTTTAATTTTTTGTCACCTTCTCCCTCCTGCTTGGTCCCCTTCCCATTTGCAAAAGATCCCTCTTCCTGTCTCCTATTACCTGTATTTATTTTGCTTTTTGATTTATTTATACTTTGGACTTCTCATATAAGAGAAACCATGTAATATTTAAGCTTGTGTTTTTATTTCACATAGTCCTCCAACTTTGCTTTTTTTCAAGATTGGCTATTCAGAGTCCCTTGAGATTCCCTAGGATTTTTTTTTTTTTTTTTTTTTGGACATAGGGTTTTGCTAAGTAGTTAAGGCTGCTCTTGAACTTTGTAGCCCAGGCTGGCCTTGAACTTGTAGTGATCCTCCTGCCTCAGCCTCCCAAATACTGGGATTACAGGTGTGTGTCTATGGGTCTAGCTGCATAGGATTTTTTTAGGATAGTTTCTCTATTTCTGCAAAACATGCCCTTGGGATTTTCATACAGTTTGCATTAAATTAGAAGGGTTCTCTGGGAAGCGTCATCTTGACAGTATTTCAGCCTTCTGTTTCATTTGTTGGTATCTTCCTTAATATTTCATGCAATCATGATCAGCACGTAAAGGTGTAATCCGTGGTGGCCCCTGTCACGGCCCAATCCAGAGCTCCTGAGCACTTAATCCCCATAGTGCACCCATTGTGGGCCCAGAGTTGTGGTAGAGGGGACTCAAAACAAGAGGAACTGTTCAGTTTCTCCACGGAGGTTAGGAGGGCAGAAATCCAAGGAGAGGAGCATGTGCACAGCTCTGACGGTTCCTTTCACAAGTTTCCACATGGTTTTCTTTAGGCTCTGGTTTTAGGACCCCTCCACCCCACCCCCAGCTGCCTCACTTGCAGTTTCCTTTGTTCGGCCGAACTCCAGGCGGTGGCTGGGCAGTGTCCGTCCAGGGATGGGCCCTACCCCCTCTTCTCCCCACAGCTGGGCAAAACAGAGGAGGCTGTCCGGGAGCAGTGGGACCCTGCACTCGGGGAGCCCCTCAAGAAAGGGGGCAAGGCTGTGGCAGGCAGTTCCTGGACTCCGGGTGTCAGTGCCTCACCCTCACAGGAGAATCCCGGGACTCGGTTCAGGTGGAGGCAGGAAGTGAGCTCCTTACCCCGGCCCTGCCTGGGCCCAGGAATCCACCTTTCAACACAGGAAGCTGCACTGGGGATACCGGGCTTGAGTGAGTCCCTATGCCCCTTGCCCAGGAAGGCAGAGAGGGGCTTGGCGGGAAGTGGGCATGGGGCCCGGGTGGGGCGGGTCAGCATGTGTCCACTCCAGCCTGTCTGGGGAGCCTGGTCTGTTCTACCAGCAGTCCCCTCTTAAGAAGGAGGAAGGGGCTTCAGCGGCCATCGCCTGCAGGCGTGGCTCTTCCCCTCTGCTCCCTTCCACCAGACCCTGAATGACGTGGTTGCTGCACAAGTCAAATTATTTTCTTTTTTTTTTTTTTTGGTTGTTTTGAGACAGGGTCTCACTATGTGGTTGAGACTGACCTGGAACTCACTAGGTAGCCCAGGCGGGTCTCGAACTCACAGCGATCTCCTGCCTCAGCCTCCCGAGTGCTGGGATTACAGGTGTGTGCCACCATCATGCCCAGCTTGAAATTCTTAAAACAAGTCAGTGTTATAGGGATTGAAATTTACAGTTGAGAACTCTAGGGTCCATCAAGTAATTTGCTATTTAAGCATAACAGCAAATATTTTTTATATTAATTTCTAACAGTTCCTAGATTTTTGTTTTGTGGTACTGGGAATTGAACTCAGGGTTTCAGGCATGTTAGCAAGTGCTGTACCACTGAGCTACACCCTAGTCCTCCCTTTTTTGTGGTCCTGGGGATTGAACCTAGGGCCTTTGCCCTGAGTTAGATCCCAGGCTTTTTTGTTTTGTTTTCACTTTTAATTTTGAGACAGGGTCTCAGTAAGCTGTCCAGGTGAGACTTAATTTTGCGATCCTCCTGCCTCAGCCTCCCAGAGTGCTAGGTTTATAGGCACATGCCACCGTGCCTATCTCCATGCCTGACTTCCTCATTTTTTAATAGAGAACAAAACAAAATTGCCCATCATCTCACCACTCAAATACTATTCCTAGTAGTCAATAGATTAAAATAATGGATAATAGATAAATAAAGCAACACAGATGTGTGTTAGGAAATCCCAGTCATGAAGAAAAGAGCAACATGGAAAGGCCCTCTGCACTGCCTCTCCCTGCTCTCCTTCCTCCCAGCAGAGACTGCTCTACCTCCTCTGCCATCTCCTCTCATGCCTCACGGCCACGGCAGCCCTGCCCTGCAGGAATCATGGTGCTCTGCCACTACGCAGGACCTAGAACTCCTAGCAGTAGACACTGAGCTGTGGAGATGGCATGATTCTACCCCTGCAGGTATGGGCAGGACCCAGGGCCAACCACAGGCGGGGCCACCGCTCACTAAGACGCCTGACTCTGAGACCTGCACCCTGTTCTCTTGGCTGCCTGGGCTGCAAGCCTTTGGCCTTCTCCTGTAAGCTGCACATTGGCCGTGGTGGCCCACTGTTCTTTCTGATCACCTCTCTTATGGATTCTATGTGCTCCTTGAGACTACGCCTCGGTCTTCTCTGTCACCGCCAGGTGTATGAGCGGCTCTCCTGAGCAAAGTGGTCCCTCCCTTTTGCTTTCCACAGGGTGCTGGCACAGGTGCCACTGTAATCCACAGGGCAGTGCGCACAGGAACACCGGAGAGACTGTGCCCTGTGTTCCCAGTCGGCAGTCACTCCAGGTGACGTCCCACTACCTCTCCGAGGCCTCCTGCGGTCCCTTCTGAGGTTGAAGAGGTGACTCGGTGCCTTTGTCTGAACAGGGACGAGCAAACAAGGCTGGCCTCCGGGGAGGGGCTCAGATAGCTGGACCCTGGTCATCCCAGATTATGGTTTATATTACTGATCATCCAAATTCCTTCCACTTGGCCGCTGGGCTCGGACAGGTGGTCTAGAGCTTTCTTGACACTAACGGGTAGGAGCCAGGCGAGGAAGCAGCCCCAGTGATGAGTCAGCCGTGTTGCCAGTGGGCGGAGAGGGCCTGCTGATCACAGTCCACTCTGCGTGTGTGAGTAGGCCACGTGGCCTGGGCTCCCCAGGAGTCACTGACCCCACTGGGGAGGGCCTTCACGCTCCTGTCCAGCTGCTGCTTTGACTCTCGAGTGTCCTCCCTCCCCAGCCGCCATGGGCTGGGAGTCCCAAGACTGCCCTCCAACAGGCTCCCTGGAGAGCAGGACCCCAAGTTCCTCTTGTGTCCTTTCCCACTTTACAGTCTTGCCTGCATCATGGGTTTGCCTCCTTTGAACATTGTGAACTCGGCTCCAGGCCAGCTGGAGTCCCCTGGCTTCTATCTGACTGAGTCCTGCCCTCACACACCGAGTGGGTTTTTTTTGTTCTGTTTTTTGTTGTTTTGATTGTTGGTGACCATCCAGGGCCTCATATATTGCTAAGCAAGTGCTTTACTACTGAGCTATATCCTATCCCTAATGTATGGATTTAGAGGGTCTGTGGGCCGAAACTATCTCCTATCCTACCTCGCCTAGGGCAGAGGACCCCCCTGCCCCCATCTAAACTTTAAGGGAGGAGGAGATGCCTGTATTCTCCTATAATTCCCCTGCAGGCTCTGTGATTGCATCTAGGAACCCGAGGAATACAGGGCTGAGTGACGAGAAAAGCTGGGTATGTTGGCGTAGGCCTTTAAAGGGAGGCTGAGGCAGTAGGATCGAAAGTTCAAGCCCACCCTGGGCAACTTAGTGACTTAGCAAGACCCCATCTCAAAATAGAAAGTAAAAAAGGGATGGGAATGTAGCTCAGTATTAGGGTCCTGGGTTCAAAACCCAGTACCAGAAAAAAATGCAAATGTTATTAATTTTACATGAACTTGGGGATTTTCAAGTGATCATAAGCCCTGAAGAAATGGTCAAAGAAAGATGTGTTACAAAGAGCAGTAACTTTGTGAGGACTAAGACAAATCTCTGGACTAGGGCAGTAAATTTTAGGAAGGTCACTTAGAGATATATTGGGTCGGGGAGAAGCTAGTGAAGATAAGGGTTATTTCAAATTGATTTATTCAAGTTCATCGTGGCCTGAGCGACTAGGTCTCTAATGATTAAGGCCATTTTTCTGCCTTGGCACTAGGAGAACACCATTCTCAAGAAATCTTTCTAGCCTGCTGTGGGTAGAAAAAGACCACCTGTCCTGCCTGCACTCACTTCCTCTTCCGGTTTAAGTAACCCTGTGCCGGTTTGGCACATTCTGAGAAGGCCTGACTTTAACTCTGTCACTGAGAAAGCACCAGGGCACGGAGTTGCCCCGACAGGCTTCAATGCACAACCACAGGTGTTACGCGTACACCTGCTCTGTCCACCCACAGGCGCTGGAGGGTGTGGGGAGGCTGGCTCACCTGGTTCTGACCCAGTAGGGAAACTGAGGCATGCAGCTGACAGCTCTGAATCTTAGCCCTCCATATAAGCACAGGGGTGTGGACGGTACCACCAAACCGAGGGCCTAGAGAATACTTAAGCCTCTGTCATTCCCCGCTCCCCTCCCCTTCTGCAAACTCCTGTCTACCTTGTTTTTCTTGTTCTGTGCTCCACCCCTGCCCTGCAGATGCTGGTGACCTCACCTCTGCCGTTGGCAGCTGTCTCACTGGTCATCGCACTACTGGCCTTCTTGCTAATATTAAGACGCTGGGGCTGGGGCCTGTTAATCATATATTATTACGAGTTCATTCTGCGGCCAGTCAAAAATCTGGCTATGGGAGACACTAAGGAACAGCGCATTCTGCACCACGTGCAGCAGCATGCGAAGCCTGGGGACCCCCAGAGCGTGCTGGAAGCCATTGACACCTACTGCTCACAGAAAGAGTGGGCCATGAACGTGGGCAACAAGAAAGGTGAGTGGCCTGGCCAGTGGACGGGGCAGGGCAGCAGCGGCCTTACAAGAGAGTGCTGTTACCAGGGGGCAGCTGGGAAGCGAGTGCCGGGCTCCTCGGGAGCTTGAGCCACAGGCCAGGCCAAGACTATCCGGAGACCTGGGTACCCACTGTAGAGCTCTGCCCAGACTGCTGTCCCGGAGGGGAAGGAGGAAGATTTGACAAAATGTGCTTTGTCCCTGGTGATTGAGGCCATTGTCCAGGGACTTGGGGGTTGGAATTAGGCTCTTCAGAATCCTGCTAGGGACGTCTCTGCAGACGTGGTCCCTGGTGACTCCTCAGGACTCGTCCACAGGGCTCCATGTAGACCCCACACTCACTGGGTATGAGGAGCGTGGTGTAGTTCCCCTTGACTTCTGCCTCTGTGACTGGGACCTGGCTGGGAACCAGTGAGGCAGGTTCTCCGAGGCCCGCCCCCTCTCCTTGGACTCTGGCCTGGACGGAAGCCTACCCGTGCTGCACCCCTACCCCGGCCTGGCTCCTGTGGGCAGGCCCTTTCCAGTCCTCTTGGAGCCCATAACACTGAGGGAGCCAGCAAGAGTAGAAAAAAGAGGGCCGGGATTTAGCTCAGCGGCACCACGTGTGTCACAAGCACAAGGTCCTGAGTTCGATCCCCAGAACGGGGGCCGGGGGAGAGTAGAAAAGAGAAGACTGGTGTGTGCAGAGATGGAGGCCCATGGGAGCTCCACGGGTGTGCACAGTGGGGGCCAGGTCTTTAGAGCTCTGTCAGCCATGGTGGCCCATGCCTGTAATCCCAGCACTTGGGGCTGAGGCAGGAGGATCGCTGGAGGTCAAGTGCAAAGTCAGCCCGAAGTACATATTGAAACCCTCTCAACCCCCACCCCCAAAAGGAGAGAGACCCTTTTAGCGATGGTAAGGGGATGAGGACAAAGGAGGGTTGCTGCAGAAAGGACGAAGCTGCTGAGTTCCCCTCTGTCCACCGCACTCACGCCCCAAACACCCCACAGGTAAGATCATGGATGCCGTGATTCAGGAGCTCGGCCCCTCCCTGGTGCTGGAGCTGGGCGCCTACTGCGGCTACTCAGCTGTGCGCATAGCCCGCCTTCTGCCAGCCGGTGGGCGGTTGTTCACCATGGAGATCAACCCCAACTTCGCCGCCATTGCCCAGCAGATGCTGGACTTCGCGGGCCTGCAGGACAAGGTGTGGTATGCCTGAGCCGGGTGACAGATGCGAACACAGGCAGGCCCAGAGGAGGCGAGCGGGTCACACCCGAACTCAGTTCAGAAACTGAGCAGCCAGCCAGATGAAGTTGTGCACTCTGGGAGGCTGAAGCAGGAGGACTGTAAATCTGAGCCCAGCCTGGGCAACTCGAATTAACATGAGCCTGTCTCAAAATAGAAATTAAGAAGGGCTGGAGATATAGCCAAGTACGAAGGTCCTAGGTCCAGTCCCTTGTACTCCAAAAAAGAAAACCGACAATAAATACAAATAAAACCCCAAAACAGAACACTGAGCGCCAAGTGTGGCCGGGCCTCTTGGTGCTTAAGGTTAAAGAAGGAACCAGCGGCACTTGTGGGGGCAGGAGCAGAGTGCAGACCAGACTCCCCGTAGCCTCAGAATAAACCACGGGGGAGTATATGTGTGGGTGTCCAGGCAAGCCGGGGCTCCTGTGTTCCTGTCGGGGTGGCACTAACAGAACACTGTTCCAGGTCACCATCCTGCTTGGGGCGTCCCACGAGCTCATCCCCCAAATGAAGACGAAGTATGGTGTGGACACGCTGGACATGGTCTTCCTCGACCACTGGAAAGACCGCTACTTGCCAGACACCCATCTCCTGGAGGTGAGGCACACCTGCCTCGCCCCTCTAGATCCTATTGTGGTCTGAACCGTAACAGCCACGGAGGCCCTGGATAGAAATGGGAGAAAAGGTTTGGGGCGGGAATGTGGGCCAGGGGCCAGCAGCCAGGTAGCCCGGCCTGTCGGGAATTTGAGTGCACAGTGCTGCCATGCGGTGGGATGAGCAGCCCGAGCCAGAGTGCCTAGCCAGAGGGCAGAGGGCCAAGGACACAGAGCAGCTCCGGAGCCACGCAGAGCCCAGACTGGGCACAGCTGGCGCTGGTGCAGTGCGAGGTGTGTCCTGGACTCCTCTCCTGAGGCTTCTGCTGCACAGCCCCTCAGCCCCTCAGACTCTTCCCAGACCTCAGCGCTGCTGCTCTCCCTACCTCACCTGGCCAAGACCCCAGCAGTGGCCGGAGTCGTCCTCACTCAGAGTGACTAGGGCTTGGGGCATTGGGCAGGCCCTAATGGACTAACACTTAATGAGTGGCATTCGGGACACACTAACTCGTCCCTCCCTGGTGGCCAAAAAGGGGACACTGAGCAGCTAGCTCCTCATCTGTCTGGCATCATGACCTACAGCTGTCACAGGAGTTGGGACCCCTCCTGTGTGCAGCGAGACCCTGAATGCGAATGGCTCAGCCATGGGAGGGCAGTGCCACTGTGGCCAGGACATGGCCGAGAAACCAGCACAGGCAGAGGTCTGGTGGGTGTGAAGGGGCACAGAATGCCCTAGCAACAGAAACAGTTGGGGCATGGAGGGCTTTGAGCAGGTGAGGGTGGGGTGAGCAGTCTTCTAGGACTTTTGTTGGTCTGGTAGAGTAAGGTGGGTGACCGGGGAAGGTGAATCAGAGGACCCAGCCCCTCCCACCCCCCACTTTTTTTGAGGCAAAGTCTTGCTGTGTAGTTCAGGCTGGGCTTGAATTCACATAACCCAGGCTGGCCTCACACTTGCAGTGACCATCCTGCCTCAGCTTCCCAAATGTAGGAATTATAGGTGTGCACTACTACACCCAACCCTAGACCCATTTTAGAGGTATGAGCCCTGAGACTCAAAACAGGGGAGTCTGAGGCTAGCAGCTAGAACTGAGAACCTGCTTTGGCCAAGGGGACAGGCAGGGCGAAGGAGTAGGGTAGAAAGAAGACCTGTAGACCAGGTCAGGACAGTCATGGGGACTTCTCTCGGGTAGAGGGAGGCTCGCCATAGCAAGGGTCTATGAACCTGGAAATAGGCAGAGAACAGACGGCTGCACCTGGACGGAGGGTTGGTGTCACAGGAGTGGATTTCAGCAGCTTTTACTGCCTCTGATAATTACAGGAGCCTGCTTTTAGAAGAGCAGCAAATATTGCAGTTCAGTAACTAGGAAACTAATAGTTTTCTCAGTGCTGGTTCAAAACTGTAATTATCTCAAAAGAAGAGAAGGCATGAGTTGGAATAGCTGTAGTTTTAAAACTGGAAATGGCCGTATGTTTAAAACATGCTTGCAGACCCACAACTGGGGCTCACTACCCCCTGGCTTGTCCAGGCCAGCCTGGCACTGTGGATACCCAGCCACCCACTCTGTTCCTCGGCTTTCTGGTCATCAGAGGAGTAAGAGTTAAGGGGCGTAGAGCCAGGTGGTAATTCAGAATTCGATGGCTACTTCAGGAGGCCACCAGCCCTGTCACACAGGTGTCTTCATAGGGCTGCTTTAGTGTCCTCATAGCACAAAGGATGGGCAGGAATGGACCAAAGAAGGCTTGGTGCCTTTTTAATGACCTAATACTGTCACCGCTGCCGTACTCTGTTGGCATTACCAAGCCTAGCCCTGTCCACGGGCAGAATGAGCCTCCACATGTGAACGGAGGAGTCACCAGCATGGTGGACAGTTTGAAACCACCCAGCCTACAAGGCTCTGTTCCCTCCTACCCCACTGTATGACGCCATGGGCCGGCTCAGACGCCAGTGTGCTTTCAGCCAGAATTCTCCAGGTAGCCCCAGTGGTCCCTCAGGAGGCTCAGGTGATCTGAGGACAAGCAGGGTAGGAGCTGCCTTCTACCCCCTCAGATGAGTTTCCTAAGGAACAGTGGGTCCCTAGCACCCTGCCAAGGTGACCAACACTTCTTTCTGACTTGAGGAACTAATGGAATTTTTTTTGGTATTGGGAATAAAACTCAGGACTTTGTGCTTGCAAGGCAGGCAAGGTGCCACTGAGCTGAATCCCTGGTCCAGAACTAATGGAATGTTAGGGTCAGTAGTCTTAACTGGTAGCCAAATTGTGCCTCCTGAAGCTGGATCCCTAGTCCCTGGCTGACTGTAAGAGTTTGGGGACCCATACGCCCTCCTCATATTGTACATTTCCTGCTCCAGATGTGGAGCGAGTCCCCTCTCGGGTTCTGGGAATCTGTGCCCTCATGCTGAGCAGGTCTTCATTCTGTTTTTTCAGCCAGTATTTTCAGCTTTTCTTATGAGGAAATAATATATTGCAATTCACAGAGATACTTCCTGTTCAAATCGGGGAATGTGAAATTGTCCTTTGACCTCAGAGCTTCATTTCCCACAGGGTCCCTATAGCTCCCTCAGATTTCTCCCAAAGCTCACTGCTTGGAAGCGACTCCCCCTGCCCCCAGGCAGAGCACTGTATGACTGTCTAGAGTAAGGCACAGAGTTAAACACCAGTGCTTTTAAGATCCCCGCTGCCCATGATTTGAGACACCCAGATCACATTTTTTTTCCAGTGTTGGGGATGGAACGCGGGGCCTTCTACATGCTAGGCAAGTGCTCTATCACTGAGCTACATCCCCAGATCACTCAAGTTCGCTTTTGATGTTTGAGATTACTTTAACTTTTATGATGGGGGACACCTCCAAAGTCAACTCCATCCCAAGACAAGGGCGGCCCTTGCTCCCAAAGCCCCTCCCCACCAGGACACACTTCCTGTGAAGGTTCCTCTATTATTTTTTTGTGATATAAGCAAATTTACCTCCCGGCTTAGACAGGCAGCTTGCCTATGCGTTTCTCCCCCGACAGTGGGCCCTAGGGGTCATGGCCTGTCGTACCACGTCCAATGACTTCTTCCTTCTGAACAGAGCCCAGGCCCAGGAACCCTAGTGTGTCTCCAGCGGAAAACAGGACTCTGCAAATGCAGGAGCTTGGGGCTGTCCAGAGCAGGCCCCCCAGGGCAGCTTGTCAGTGGAAACGTGGGCCCTGCCCCCGCAAACTTGGAAAGTCACCCTAGGCAGGCTAGATCTCACCTTAGTGACCACAGTAGCAGCCCAAGACCCCAGAACTTACCCCTTGCCGGTGCCTAGGTACCGAGCACCAAGTGCCAACGGGACACTGGCCGCGCACTGGCCCCGCCGCCTTCTCCACTCAAGCAAATGCCGTGCGCCACCTACTGTCCCGGTGGGTGGGGACGGACACAGGGGTGAAGCTGAGGTATTGCCCAGTGGCAGAGCACTTGCCCAGCATACACAAGGCCCTGGGTTTGATCCTTACTACCACAAAAACAGAAGTAAATGGGAGAGCAAAAGGCCCTTGTCCTCATGGCTCCGATGGTCCAGAGGACACACAAAGTTAGCACAGCCCTTAGCTGTAGTGGCTGCTCTGCAGAGAAGACCCCAGCACCTGTGCTGGACACAGGCTCGTGTGCAGAGCCGCATCCGGGGGAAGCACCTGTCTGGGGTAGACTCGCTAGGCACTGTAACCCTCTCGCCTCATCTGTCCTCTGCAGGAATGCGGCCTGTTGCGGAAGGGGACGGTTCTTCTGGCTGACAATGTCATTGTCCCGGGAGCGCCAGAATTCCTGGCCTATGTCCGTGGGAGCAGCAGCTTTGAATGCACACACTATAGCTCTTACCTGGAGTACATGCAGGTGGTGGATGGCCTGGAGAAGGCTGTCTACAAAGGCCAAGGCAGCCCAGGGCCTTAACGGACCACCCTGCCAAGTCTGATTCAGAAAGATGAGACGGACATGTTCCTGCTGAGTTCGTGTCTGTGATTCCAGGGTCTTTCCTTAAATGTAAAGCGTACTTCGGGCCTGAGCCTTGCTCGGGCTGACCTTGTGTGTTTCACTTCCAAACTGTCACACGCTGGCGCACGTCAAAGTGTAGGGAGCTCACCGTGCAGAACCACTGCAATACATCTGGGCAATACCTGCTGATACAGACTGAGCGAAGGGGTCAGAGACAGCTCATTGGTAGAACACTGGCTAGTAAGCCTGAGGCACTAGGCCCAAGCCCCTAGCACTGCAAAAAATAACAAAAAACTAGAGGAGAGCCAATGAGAGTCTCACTAACTGGCAAATGGAATTCTAAAGGGTGCGTACATGGGTAGGTCCGCAGGCACTGACAGATCCATTAGCTCAGAAAGGGTGAGGAGACTGCAAACATCTGGAAACTGCTGGGCTCACACTCAGGCTATCCTAGAGGTTTGCTGTTAACAGGCGCCAGCAGTGTCTCGGTGACAGTACCTACTACTAACTCACGTCACACTTCTGACTGGATTTTCTACCTTTTAAGAATAAAGTCATAACTTCTTTACTGAACTCAGCTAACTGTAATAATCTTACATACTAAAACGTTTAAAGCTCGGCATGGTGACACACGCTTTTGATCCCACCTTTACTACCTAGGTAGACTGCTGACCCCCTCAGATAGTCTCCAGGGCCCCAGCAGGAGTCCAGTTTCTAGTCTGGACCGACACTGACTGAGACCTTGGTCTCGGCTCAGGGCCAGCTGACCACCCAGAAGCCAGCCCACTCCTCTGGGCCCAGATGTGGGGAGAAGCCCAAGGGTCGGCGCCTGCTGGTCACAGCAGACTGCAACTTGGGGTTTGTCTCTGCCCAATTCCCCACCCTTCACTGTCAGCATCAAGAGAGGGGCCGGGCGGATTTTAAGTAGGACGGTGACGAGGGAGACAAGAAGTTCCTTTGTTCCTTTTTTTAATTTTTAAATTTTCTTACAAAAATTTAGATGTTTACCAATACAATCTTATTTTGGTTTCATTTTAAATGCTTTTTATCAGTGTTTTTTTTCTGTTTTTAAGTCACAAACAGCAGGCACTGAACAGCAGTCTCCTGCCACCGCTGGAGCTCAGTCCTGGAGGTTACTGAGGTTCTGGACAGATGCAGTGGGGCAGCCATGATGGCCCTAGCCAGAAGGGGCTCAGTGCAGGTTCCCTCTGCTCGAGGGTCCCACCCATCCAGGACTCCAAGGGTGGAAGGGGTAAGCAGAGGCTGACCCCCACCTTGCTGCCTCCAAAGCCTCCCTGCCTGGGCCAACCCTCGTAGAGCAGCCCCAAGCTGCCCATGGTCAGCCTGCCATGTGGGGCGGGGCCCTGGCCAGGGGATCCGCTTGGAATTCAACTGCCTCACCCAAGACCCTCCCTGCCTGGCCGCCTATCCCCGGGATCTCCTTCCCCAGTCTTTTGCTCCTCGGGGCACTTGCACACAGGGTATACTCTCTCCTATTCTGCCGGAGCAAAGCCAGGCTCCCTCCCCTAATGCCTCCCTGGGCCCCGGCCCGACATTCTCCCACCCACTCACACACAGCGCCAGGTCATCAAACAGCTAACAGGCCTAGGAGTAGGTCAGGAGAGCGGAGGGACGGAGGGAGAGGAGAGTATGCAGAGAATCCCGGCCTGGCTCAGGGCAGCAGGCTCCGCCAACCCCTGCCACCAGAGGGCTCCAAGCTCCACGACAGGGTCTGCCCAGGATGGCCCTTCTCCTGGTGATCCAATCTCTAAGGACAAATGGCTGAACCCGGGCCCTGCAGAGGGAGGGAAAGGTGGACCCTGCAGTCACACACACAGGAAAGGGCAGCAGAGTGGGGCAGGGCAACAGACAGACAGGGCAACTGCTTCCACAGGCCACACTGAAGGAGATGTGGATAAAGAGCTCCAGCTGCTGTAGGTCAAGGGTTGGGTGGGTTAAACCTTTAGGAGGTTAGGGCAACCCCAAGTGACTTGACACCAAGGCAAATCTTGACTCACTTGACCACCATTGGAGCTCAGTCCTGGAGGTTACTGAGGTTCTGGACAGATGCAGTGGGGCAGCCATGATGGCCCTAGCCAGAAGGGGCTCAGTGCAGGTTCCCTCTGCTCGAGGGTCCCACCCATCCACAGGCCTTCCAGAGTGGAAGGGGTAAGCAGAGGCTGACCTCCACCTTGCTGCCTCCAAAGCCTCCCTGCCTGGGCCAACCCTCGTAGAGCCCTGTGCTAGGGGTGTTTGAAGGGCTAGGGAATGGTGCCTGATCTCACAGTGCATAGGATAGGGCTGTGAGCCCTGAGGACCTCTGACCTTGCCTACGATGAGCACTTCGGCCTGCTGGGCTTGCTGGGGAGCACACAAGGAGAGCAGAACATGCAAGCAGCAGAGATTAACGAGAAGCCCCTGCCCAGGGAAAATGGATGAACAACCAGACAAGGGAACCACCAGACGAGAAAACGTACCAGGCATGCAAACTAGACCCAGGAGTCAACAGGCTGAGGCTTAGAGTCCCCCACGGCGTCCACCAGCCTGACCGCAGGCCTGTTGGGCCCGGGAGGAGGGGCCTTCCTGCTGGGGTCGGGCTGCAGCACATGGGCAGTGGGTGGGTGGGCGAGCAGCAGGACATTAGAGGCAGAACAAAGCAAGTTAGTTGCAGGTAAAGGGCAAGGCTGGGCTAGTCAATGGGGCCAGGGCACTGCTGTAAAGATCGATCCTGCCAAGGAAGCACAAGAGAGCTGAGCTGGTGTGGCTCACACAGGCTTGGGTGGCACAAAGACGCACACAGAGGCCCGTGCATGAAGCCAGGGGGTTGGCACAGAGCAGGTAGCGGGTGCTGTCCTCCCGGTGAACTACGGCAGGCACCCTGCCCACACACATGCATACAGAGAAGTGTGAATACCTGCTCGCTCGGGCTCTCTGGTCCTCTGCAGTGCAGCAGGGGAACTCTGTTCCCTGCCCGCTTCCTCGCAATCAGTGCTCACAGGCTGACTGATACGAGGGCTGTTTCCTGGGCAAGGTCTCACGGCCCCGCTGCCCCACAGTGAGTGCCGTCCCAGATCACACTCAACACCGCCCGGCTACTCTTTGGGCAAGCTCTAGACCCAAAGCCTCCCAGGGAACCTGCTCATGGCCGCTTACTTTTAATGGTTCCTTCTCAGAGGCCTCCCCTGCAGAGCTGCTGCCCAGGGCCCTCCGCTCTCTCTGCTCCACAGTAGAGTATCCGTCTGTGGAATGGGGTAGGGTGGGGCTGTGAAGAGAGCTCTGAGGTGTTGCACCGTAGGAACAGGTGATCTCCTCAGCCCAGACAGAGCAGACCCTGGAACAGGTGGCTATTGCGGAGTCCACACATACTCTGTCCTGGAGCCAGCCTCACCACCCTGCCTCACTCCCTGAGCGCCTGTGAACCAAGTCTCTTCTCCAAGCAGCACCTCCTTGGAATGCCTTCCTATCACAAACACACCCCATAGGACCGCAGGCCCTCCCGGCCCACCCCTCCTGAGCAGGGAACAGGCCTGCACACCTGCTCTCACCTGGGCCAAGTGCGTCCATGGGGATCACATCCCGGCTGCCCGCCTTCTCACCATCTGCAAGGCAGAGCAGGAGGCTGATTGCAAGCAGCGGGCAGGGTGGAGTGGGACTAGGGCACACAAACCCACCACCAGACTGGCCTCAGTAACGCCAGGTGCCCTCTGTCACGAGTGTCTTTGCATTCTTCTGCCCAACGTCTGTGTCCTGGAAGCCACCCCCCAGCTCGGCACCCATCAGATGCTACGAAAATGGAGTACCCAGAAGGCCGCAATCAGGGAGAGGGCCCTCAACCTTGGAGCCATCTTAGCATCTTAGCCATGCCCACCCCCTGGTTACCATCACTACTGGAAACCTGCTCTTGAGCTCAGGAATAGACAGAATGCTGCCTGTACTCACCAAGGCTCTTGTCCACCAGGGGCAGTGTGCTGTCGTCGAAGCCCCCAGGACTCTGTGCTCCCTTGGGGCCCTTGGGGGTGGTAGCAGCTGACTGAGGCAAAATACAGATAGGAGGTAAGGTCAGAGGCCTTCCTTGGAGACCCAAGCCGGCAACGTGAGAGTGGCAAGGCGGGAAGAGCCACACCTGGAAGCGTGCCTTGGTCCAGCCATCCCTCTGCAGGGCACTGCGCAGCTCCTTGTAGCTCCACACGGTCTGCAGCACATGCGAGGCTGCCTTCGCCTCGCGAACTGACGGGCTGCAGGAGGCCAGGGGCGGGGTCAGTGGCCAGCCCCACCTCACGCGCCCTTGCCCCACCCCGGCCCGCCCCCACCCACCTGGCTGCCACCAGCGCCACCAGCGCCGGCACACCGTGGGCCTGCAGGAGCGAGCGCACGTTGTCCAGGCTACCAGACACGATCTCGTGGATGGTGTTGAGCACGGCCACCACCGTGTCCTCCTCCAAGCGGGCCCCGGGATGTGGAGGGGCTTGTGCACTGCGCACGTTCCGCACGAGCTCAGCCAGGGCATAGCTCCCTGAGGGGCAGGGGCAGGCGTTAGGTCACACCCGTGCCCCACCCCATAGGAAAGCACAAGGGTCAGGCAACAGGCGCCACAGAGGGAGTCTCTGAAAACGTGGGGACAAGACCAGGGGGATGCAAGCCATGAGTGCGGGGCCTGCAGCCCTGAACCACTGGAGCAGCCCCAACCTGGCCCTTCCAGGGCCCTCACCTATGAGGTCTTTGTTGCGCCGGTCCAGTGAGAGGTTGCGCAGTGCGATGGCCACAGCACGCACCACTTTGTCCGTCTCCGACTGCAGCAGCTCCACCAGCACCGGCAGCCCGCGCTCCTTGCGCACCGTGGCACGGATGTATGTGGCCCACTGTGACGGTGGGGGCAGAGCAGTATGCTGCTGTGAGGGTCGGGCAGCACAAAACCCTACCCCAGCAGCTCCAGGACACCTCCACCGGATCCAAGAAGGGCACCACGGTGCCCCCTGCCTCCCCAACAGCCTAAGCAGGGGCTACAGGCCGCACAACAGGAGCCTAGAATTCCCTCGGTCCAGTTCGTGCCCTCCCCACCAGACCTGGCCCTCACCATCCAGTTCCCGGCACTGAGGTTTTGTAAAGCACCAGCAGCAGCCTCCAGGGTGTTGAAGTTCCGGCTCTCCGTAAGGAGGGAGAGGTAGAGACGTACCACCTCGGGCTGATACAGCAGCTCAAAGCCTGGACACGGGGCAACCACAGCCCATGACCATCCAAATTCTCCTCTCGCTTCAATTCCTCACCCCTACCCACAGCACTCCCAGAGCTGGGGCCAAGATGGACGTAGAGTAGTAAGGGCACGTTTATTACCAGTGTAGTCCTCTCTTACAGCCACCCAAAGGCAAAAGCGTTCCCATTTCACAGAGGAGTAAACTGAGGCTTAGCGATGGGTTCCTGTGAGGGCCCTTCTTCAACCCTGCTGCCAAAGAATTGGGACTAGCAGCCTTAGCATTCAGGAAAGCCCTGGGTGCAGGAGGAGGCAGCAACTGGACCACTCCCTTACAACAGGACCCCCCCCCCAAGCATACAGCTGAAGCCTCTAGCAATTGGTCTTTCCCTGAGGGATTGAAGGGAGGGCAGGGGAATGGGGAGAAAATAAGAACCAAGATACAGCATGTAAAGGCACCAGTTCCCAGTGATGGATGCACTTCATACCTAAAATGTACCAATCAAAGAATTTAAAGAAAACAATAGGTCTTTTCTTCCCTGGCAAGAGGGACCGCCTTCACCTGACTGAGCCTGCAGCCAAGGCCTAGCAACAGCGGCTGCCCTTGCGGGCAACCAGTCCAGGCTCCTAGCCTTTGAGGCCAAGCCTGGTTGCATGGCATGGCTGAGCAAAGATAGTGCCCTGCATAGGATTCCAAAGATGTGGGCCCAGGCAGCCCTCCATGCCTGCTGCTCCCACTAGGCGGCTTGTGCCTGGCTTAAGACATCGCCTCCCTCTCCCCTGCCCTCCCACCCGTCCCATCCAGCTCCCTACTCCCCATGCCCCAGGCTCTCTCCATTCTAGCTGGCTGGGCTTCCTACTCCACAGATTCCCCAAGCACAGTCCCCTCTCGGGACGTCTGCACAGGTCCGCCCGGAACACGTCACAGGCCTCCCACGCTGGGTCCTCCACCCCTCTCGGCGGCATCTGAGCTATTCTGACTGGCAGGGCTGGCTGGGCCCTTCCGTGGAAGTTCTCTGTCTCAGGCTGGTTTCCAGTGCATCTTAGGAGCCCAGAACACAGGGAACAGGGGAAATGAGTCACCTGCCCCTGCCTCCGTGCCTGAAATGCCCAGGACCTCCTGGCTCCCAGCCCCAGCTCTGAGTGACACCGAGGACCGGCCTTCGCTGGGTTCCTCCCTCCAACTGGTCCACGTCCCCCCTGCTGATAACGGAGCGAGAGCCCACCTTGCCTGAAAAGACCCGAAGCACTGACCCTGATTCTGAACCTCAGGAGGGACCAGGCCTGGACCACCTGCCAGAGAACCCACATGTATAGGTCTGACCCTGATGGCACAGAACCTCACCCCCGGGCTGGTGCCGGACCCAAGCACTCCGACTGGTGCTGGTTCTGCCTCTGCCCGCTCACCTTTGGCAGCCTCAGTTCTCTTGGGCAGGTCCAGCGTGTCAAAGTTCCGGTCCATCTCACTATCCTTCTTCCCTGGAATGGAAGGGTGGCAGATGAGGAAGACTCCGTAGGAAGCAACAATGTATGGAGGGGGTAAGCACAGCTCTCCCCTGTCCAGAGCCCAAAGAGCATCCTGGTGACCAGCTCTGGGCATCAAAAGGCCCAGGGAAGAGCATCATTCTCAGAGTTCAGGCAGGCAACCTGTGCCAGCACAGGGCAGTGGTACAAGTGGGGCCTGGGGGCCTCTTGGCCCTGTCCTGAGCACCTGGGGCTCCTGTCCCGTCAGGTGCTAGGAGCTCTAACAGACTCACAGCTCCTCTGTGGCTGCCAGACCTGTAAAGTGAGGGAACCAGGAGCCCAGGCTGGGTGGCAGGTAGAGCAGACTCAGAGTTGACAAGGACGGCACTTATTGGGGTCACAGCAAGGCAGGGTTGGGACTGAGAGTCTAATACAAAGGGAAAACACGAGCCAGCCTCTACTAGGCAGGAGAACCCTCACATCCATGCTAAGCACCAAAGCAGCCCATAAAACACTTGCATTCCTCCACAACAGTGAGCTGTCTCCAGCCACCACCCAAATCTCAGCTGAGGCAACTCTGGAAGGCTGCAAGGTGGGTTGAGATGACCTGGGCCCCTGCCCTGCCCATCCTCATGGGAACTTTATGAGCCTAAGCCACAAACCACCCCATTCTACCAGAGGGGCAGACTGGCCCCTAGTTCCCCTGGGTATGGACGCACCCTGGGTCCTGCCCACTGTGCTCTGCTATAGTCCTGACTAGGAAGCTGAGTCTGGCTACAGGAGGCAGCCCTGCAGCCACCCCACCAGCCCTGGGCTCACATTCTTGCATTTGTCATGTCCCCAGTTGTCATGGAGATGGCCCTTTGATGGGACTGGGAGCAGAGCCTTGAGGCTGGAAGGCATCCCAGGAGCCCACTCACTGCACCAGCTGCCCTTCAGTTGTCATAGAAATAACTGCCTGAGTAACTGGGGACAGGCATCTCCCTGGTACCCAATGCACCTGCCAGTCCTGGACAGCAGGACAAACAGAGCATAGGACAAACAGAGACTCACCTTGATGGAACCACTCCTCTGGGCGGCCGAAGGAAGCACAGGAAAGAGGAGACGAACCTGAGCAGGTGCACCCGCCCCATGCTCTTATGTTCCCACTGCATGCCCTGGGTCAAGCAGGTGGGGTGTGGATCTCACCCTGAATAATCTAGGGCTGGGGACCCACCCATGGGACAGGGAAGGAGAGGCCCGGGACCAGAGGGGCAGTGAAGGGATCGAACAAGTTCCACTACTGCTGTAAGGGATGGAAGTTGCTGGAACCTGCACCTTGCAGGTACCAAAAGGGGATGGTGTGCAGCAAGGGCCTCACCCAGGTATGCTGGGACTTATCAGGGCCTGCAAGGAGCGCAGGGTCACCTGTGGCACTTTCCAAACTCACAGGCCTGCAGAGCACTTCCCCAAAATTCAGGGACAGGGTGTGGGCAGTAGTGGAGACCATCGTGTGGACACCCACCGGGAGGTCACCACTGCAGAGGGGAAGCGGAGCTTGGGTCTGAACCCTGACCCAACTGGCAGTGTGACCCAGGGCAGCGCACCCTTCTCAGCCCCCAGCTTCCTGACCTGCCCCGTGGGAGATGACCAGATAGCCTCTGGCTTTCATGACCATCTACCATGGGCGTGGTGAGCCTCTCGCCTAGGATGGGAGTGTAGAGCAGTGTCCCAGCATCACCCACCCACCTTTGGCCTTCTTGGCACCAAAGCAGCTGGTGTCATCCCTCCTCCGGCGCTGGGAGGCTGCAGCGCTGCCTGGGGGCCCGAGTTCAGCCTCTTGGTACCTGTCAGCACCGGGCACCTCCTTGTGCACATGGTAGGACAGGTTCCGCATGATGCACACGCAGTTCTCCACTGACTGTTGGGAGAGGTGACCTGGTGGAGCAGGGCCATGGGACGTGGGGGCTGCTCACCATCCCAGGACTCCGTGCATGGAGCCAGCCCTCAGGAAAGACTGGCACTGCCAGAGGACACCAAGCATAGACACAGGCAAGCCTGAGCTGGGGGTCCACACAGGAGGTAACCGCCAGGGACCGCTCCCCAGTACACCTCGAGTAGTTCTTGCCATGTGTAGGGCTGCATCCCCTTCCCAGCGTGGCCAATACACCTTGGGCTGTGTCCAGATCCACACTCCCATTCCCCTGAACCACTCCAGATGGCTCTGGACTTGCATCCCATTCCTGCACTGCCCTTGGTGAGAGGTTCTGAGGCTGTGCCCACCTTGTTGTCTGTGTCCTTCCTGCCCACAGCTGACTGCAGCGCATGCAGGAGGGCATCCACCAGACCCTCACACTCTCGGAGTCGCCGCCGGGCCTCGGCACCATCAGAGCTCACATTCCTGGTGGCCAAGAGCAGGCCTAGTGACCCCTGGGCCCCATGGTAAGTCCCCCAGCACCACGCTTGGCCTTGGGCTTGTCTTCATCTGCACAAGGAGCCCTGCTGCTGCCACAGTGAGGCTACTGGGACAGAATAGCACAGCCTAGACACAGTGAAGCTGAAGCAGGGAGCCCAGGCCACCCTCAAGCCCCAGGTGAATCGGAAAAGGATGGAGGTAGACCCAAGAGGCCTCAATCTGTGCATGGACGGTTCCGCCCACCATCTCAGCGGCAATTCTGGGTCCCAACTTGCTCCAAGGTCAGGATTCTACGGGGTCACAGGGACAGGCAGGATCATAGGTCTCAGGACTCCGTCTGCGGTCTCTACAGGGCCTCCCAGGAGTGAGACAGGGAGAGCAGGGGTCACAGGGTGGACGGTGGATGTGGAGGGTCTCAGTCAGAAGCAGACTGGAGATGAGAAGTCTGCTGCCCTTCCCTGGCTGTGGGGGAGCCAGGAGCACAGGCAGGGCCGCATGGTGGAGACCTTGGGAGGGTGCCCTTGGGGTGAGGAAAGCCCCATCAAGCACATTTCTCACTCATACAACTTGGGATGTGGCTCTGAAGCTCCTAAGACCCATGTTGCTTGGAACCCTGAGAACTCAGCAGTCCCGCGATGAGGCCAGGTATGCACGCTGGCTCCGGTATGCCCTCCAGCTTCCCTGACCAATGGGGCAACCAGGCAGCCTGAGGGAATAAGCCCAAGAGTGGCCACTGTCCACACCTCAAGCAGCCTGACGTGTTCTTGAAAACAGTCGTCCACTCGGCATCTCGAGGCTTGGAGTCCTCGTTCGGTTCCTGCTCCCAGCCTGAGTGGGGCACGATGACCTCGTGTGTCAGCGTCTGCAAGCCGTGGTCAATGATGGCCATCTTCAGGGGCTCATAGGATGACAGGTTCCACAGTGTGCCTATGAGGTACCACCAAGCACCACACTGACCTCCCTGTGCCCCAGTCCAAACAGGAAGTTAGTACAGCTTTGTCACTTACTGCGTTTTGTTTTCGGTACTGAGGAGTTAACCTAGGGCCTTAGCTCAGGCTAGGCAAGTGCCCTGCCACTGAGCTGTAGCCTGGCCCACACAGGCAATTAGGAAGGTAACAGAAGTTGTGAGAAGTTCTGGGGCCTGTTCTGGCCTGGTCAAAATATATACGCAGCGCCTGAGATGACTTCCAGCTGGGCGGGAAGGGGTGGGGTACAGAGGAGGAGGTGGCAGCTCCTCTTCCTACTCATTCTCTGCTTCATAACGCCCCTGGGACCCACCTGTCCTTCAGGTCCTACAGTGCACAAGCCCTGCCGCTGCACTGTCATGGGTTGGGAACCAGAGAGGAGGGGACACTACAGGGACACGCAGGAAGGGGACCTCTCTCCTGGGCTCAGTGCCCCCACGGGACAGACAGACCCACCACAGCATCTGGGCCTGGTGCCTGCGCCCGGGGCGAGCCGTTCTAGCAGCTGGGTGCTCCCCGCCCCCACGGGCTCACCCCTCAGGCCGAGCCCTGCCGTCCTCCCTCTTTTCCTGGGGAAGAGTGAGCGCAGCCAGCTCTACTCACCGGTGACCAGCTCGCGGACCTCGTTGTCACGGGCAGCCCGCAGCAGGCGCACCAAGGCGGGGACACCGCCGCAGTCGCGGATAGCTGCCTTGTTGTCAGTGTCACGGCCATAAGAGAGGTTGCGCAGGGCCCCACAGGCCCGGCGCCGCACCTCTGCCCGAGGGTGGTCCAGCAGCGCTACGAGGAGGGGCAGCCTGCTGTGTCCACTGAAGGCGAGCGCCGCACCACCCGGTCCAGGCTGCCCAGGCTGCCCCGCTCGGGCTGGGCTAGTGGAGCTGTTGCTGCCAGGAATGGGGGCCTCTCGTCGATCAGCTCACCAGCGTCATCTGTGGTCTCCTCATAGGTCCTGTGCAGACGAGTAGGGTATGTGAGCACCTTCACGGCTTCAGGACTTCAGCCGTGTCCACTGAAGGCGAGCGCCGCACCACCCGGTCCAGGCTGCCCAGGCTGCCCCGCTCGGGCTGGGCTAGTGGAGCTGTTGCTGCCAGGAATGGGGGCCTCTCGTCGATCAGCTCACCAGCGTCATCTGTGGTCTCCTCATAGGTCCTGTGCAGACGAGTAGGGTATGTGAGCACCTTCACGGCTTCAGGACTTCAGCCGCCGACCCTGCCCTCTGAGCTACCATTGACACTGTCCAGAATTCTGTGAATCTCAGAGCAGGGCTGAGAGGAGAGAATCTGTCTCATCCCAGAGCATAGACTGGGCACTAAGAGTCACATCCCAGCTGAGCAACAACTGACTCTGAGACACGTCCTGAGCAATGGTCATCAGGATTTACATCCTTCCCAGAACGGGGAGCTCACTCCCGTCAACAGGAGCTAAACGTGTTTCCAAGGAACATCCATCCATGATGGGATGGTGGGGGGGGGTCACTACTCCCTTCCGTAAGGTCATCCGGCTGGTGTCAGGATGTGAGGTGAGCTGCAACCCTCCCTGCATCTGGCTGTTCTACTAGAACCATCAAAGGGATAGTGAGACCACCAGTTCTGCAGGGTCCAAGATGTCCTTGGCTCTTAACAGCCTTGTGGCTTAGTCACTAAACCCCCTCTCTGGTGAAAGAACAAGGCTAGAAAGTGTAGGTGATCAGCCCAGTCACATAGGAATCTAGACCTATGGTTGTGCTCTTATGCTGCATAAGGACAGAACCATGGGATGTGCCAAAAGGGACTAGGGCTCTGGATTCTGCACATGGGGAGACTGAGCCCCAGGCAGAGGCTGGGACCTCAAACTCAGAGTAACACACCCTGAACCTCTTGTGCTCAGGTCTTGACAGCTACCTGCCCGGAGCAAAGCAGATGTCAAGCACTGTCACCAGTGTCTCTTCCATTCAGCCTGACGCCTACCATCTCAGGGCCTGTCCTTACTGCTGTCCTTGAGAAGAGATGAGGCTAATTCAAACTAAAGTGTGCATGACTCACTCAGCCCTGGTAGCTTGGTACTCTGGGTGCCGGAATGGAAGGTGGACTTCCCAGAAGAGGAACAGAGTGCTCACCTGGCACGGAGGCCCCGCCCACAGTCAGGTCTCCTCCGTGTGGCTGTGCCATAGTTGGGCTCCAGCTCAGGGCCACCCTCATCATCAGCAGCCAGGCTGCGTGTGTCATCCTCCAAGCCATAGGGCTCTGCCTGGAAACGCTCAGGCAGCGAGCGGCCGCTCTGCGGCCCAGGCTCAGAACCCATAGGGAAGGCCTCCCGGCGGCCAGGCAGTGTAAAGCACCCATCGCCAGGTCCGGAGCCAAGGGGACCAGTGCGCGGAGGTCGCACTCCGAGCCCTCGGGACAGGCTGCCATAGTTAGGGCCATCACGAAGCTCGGGGACGTCGGGAAAGCCACCCCCACTGCTGAGGTAGGCTCGGGAAAGTGTGGCTGCCGGGCCACCACTGCGAAGCAGGAAATGCCGGTCCAGGGGGCCATCAGCAAAAGGGCCAAGCAGGGGGCCGCCATCCAGCAGGGGGAGTCCATCTGGGCCCAAAGGCACCTGGCGTACTGTCCTCGTGGTCACTGTCTTGACTGTCTTGGTGACCTAGTGGATAGGCAGGTGGCAGGTAGGCTGGGCAGCCCGACGGGTCTGGACAGCACTCTGGTAGGCCAGTGTGACCTCCACTTTAAACCCAAACAAGAGGCAGCCATAGGGGCTGGCCCACACCCACTCTGCAGAGGAACCTGGTCCCAGCCATACCTTGGTTTCCGTACGCCGGGTTGTTCCATCTTCAGATGTGACAATGGACACGTGGGAGGTGGGCGTGCCAGGGTCCTCTTCCACTGTCACAGTCTCCTCGAGCACCTCAGGTGCCTCTGGCATTGTGGCCAGCGATGCCTGGCTGCCTGGGCTGTGCTCCTAGGGGTAGAGGGGAAGGTGTCAGGGACAGGACCTGCAGCTGATATGTCTCTGGAATGTGGGTGCCTTCCTTAGCTCATGCCAGCCAGGACACTAGGATCCCCACCCCTGTCTTAGAGCCTCCTCGGGCAGAGTTGGCAGAAAAACATAGGTGGCCCTCTCTGAACTGTAAAGCATGAACTCCAAGCGCTAGGAGAAGCCAGCAGGAACCTGCAGGATATCTTCCCAATGTGTACTTGCCACACCATGCTTGACCCTCAAGGTGTCCTGGGGTCTCCTCCCTGCACCATCCCAGAAACTTGCGATGCACAAATGTTCAAGTGGCAGTTTCAGCACCACTCACTAAATTCTGTGTCCACACCCAGCCTCCTGCCAACAACACCAACCAGGCCCCCTTGCATGACAGAAATACCCCGCTCCCAGGATGCACTGTGTACCCAGAGAACCAAAATATCCTTCTCTTTCCGGCCCAGACACTCTTGGGGCACGGCCTGGGCATGGTCTGGCCCTACCTCAGACCACAGGCCAGCACCCCCAATAGAGACCCTGAGTGTGCTATCAAGGACTGGAGATGACAGATCTATGGGTGCATCTACGTTGCTATCCCTTTGCAGAGGGGGGGATGATGGTGGAATTACAGGCAGGAAAACTCTGGACTAAGGCCCTCCGAAGGCCCACATGCCCACTTGCTGGACTTGCCAGTGGAAATTGAGCCTCAAAGAGGACAAGCCAGTCCCTGAGATGGTGAGCAGCAAGAGGAGACCCAGGAGCCACAGTCTGTCCCTGGGCTTCCGCCCACTCAGGTCCCCAGCTCCAGGGTGCCACTATGCCAACATCCTGAGGTCAGCATCCGCCAGGACTGGGAGGGCTGAAACCGAAGCTGTGGTGGGTGGAAGAGGCGGGAGCACATTCCTGGGTAGCTAAGACCAGGTCAACAGGAAGGTATGCCCCAATCTGTGGCCCAGGTCCCAGGTCCCAGGGCCTTTCAGGATGGGTCCCCTGCCAGGGCCCCAAGGGCCAGCAATTCAGTCTGCATCAACCTTGCTCCAGAGTCCTTTTCTAGGCTTGGGAGGTGCCCAGGGCTGCCCTCATGACCTGGTTCCAGAGATTTTCAGGACAGGAGGCTCCCTCCGGTAGGGAGCTGTCCTGAAGGAATGCTTGACCCCTAGTGGATCAGAGTAGGGCTCTGGGGAGAGGTTGAACTAACATATTAGGACAGATGCAACTCTCGAGCTCTGGCGACAGAGAAGAGTGGAGATGAAGGATGTGCCTTCCCAGAAGCAGGGCCTTAAGAGAACAAGAAACGGCTTCATAGATGGGGAAACTCAGGCCCAGCAGAGGGACAAATTCACAATTGCCAGGTGGAAGATTTTAGGCACTTGTCTGACAAGGGAACCTTTGTGCTTCACCTCACCCCTTGGGGACAGGGCCTTGACAGCCATCATCTGGGTCTTAGAATGGGGTGGAATGCACTCTTGGGACTTAGCCAGGAAGAGGAGACCCTGTTTCCTGGGAAAGAGAAATATACTGAGGCCCAGAGTGGGGACAACTGGCAGGCTGCCAGGCAGGGTGGCCTGGGCTCTTCTCCAAGGCAACCAGGAAGTCAGGACAGGTCCAGAGCAGGAGAGTAAAGAAGGGGAAAGTGACCCTGCTGGGACCCGGGCTGCCTCGTCTGTATTTGGCGACTGCAGGTCAGGACCCAGCTCTCTCTGCTGAGTCCTGGTAGCTAATCAGTGCTCCAACACGCTGGGCCAGGCACTGAGAGGCTGCATTCCTGAGAGCAGAGTAGTGAGAGGAACAAGACTGAGGCGATGTGTTGCCCAGGACACTGCCAGTGAGCTAGGGCCCCTTAGTAGATTTGCATACATTTGCATGCATTAAATATTCAGCATAGATCGCACAGCAAGGCAGTAGGACAAGTGGGGAAGAAAGGGAAAGACAGACATTCTGATAACCTCAAGGCCATTCTGCAGCCCAGCTTCTTCTTCCTACCCTGGTAACGGCAAGGGTCAGACAGGGCTGAGTCGGATGGTCCAGGATAACCAGGTTCCCAGCCGAGCTCTGACAACACTGAAACACCATCTACTAACACTAAGACCCAAAGCTGGACAGCAGGATCCTGAGGCACCAAGAGTCCCTGCTGGCAAATGACCTCAGGGAGCTAAAAATGGGCAATGACTTCACCCAGGGGGGAGGGTGAGTCATCCGTGCTCTCCGCGGCCTTTTTACACATGCCACGGCACACACGCAGGGACTGGGGTCTGACACAAACACACATGTACCCAATCCTTCAGAAACATGTGCATGTCTACAAGTATATGAGCACCTAGCCTGGCACACAGGCTTATGCACAGGAATGTGGGTCTAACAGCACCCCAAGTGCACAACGCCTACTGCCCCAAGAGGAACATATCTGAGTACCTGTTTCTCATGTCTTCACCCACTGTCCAGACCCTGGTCCATGCAAGGCCTTGAGAGGTGCTAGCAATATGCAAGGATGGAGTACGAACCACCCCAGTCATCCACCCATCTGAGACCATCTGGGGGTCTCAGAGTGGCAAATGGTAGACTGAAGCCTACTGCAGAGAAGGGCCTGAAACCATCTGGTAGCTCAGGCTCTGCAAAGCTTCATGGGATGGTGGGCTGTTAACCAGCACACAACACTCAGCAGAGTGGACTAGCTGGGGTGCTCTACTCTGGGTTCCCCAACTCACATCCACTTACCTAGGCCAGCTCATTCCCAAGGAACCTATTCCTGCAGCCCCACACTACCAGTGCCCAAGACCCAACTCTAGGCTGTTTCCTCTGGACATACCGTCCGGGTCCAGCCAGCCATCTACTGTCACTCCTCCCTAGCCCCAGCCTCCCATCACTCACCTTTGAGACTGAAATCCATCCAGGGCCCTCCCACCTGTGGTACCAAGCCCAGGCCTAGGTTTTCCTACAAGTGCTTGTGGGAGGGACCAAAGTGCCCAGGGAGGTAGATCTATGCACTCACTACTCTGACGCATACCCTGAGACCCTGGGCCCGGCCAGACACCGGAGGCTTAGCTTCCTCACACAGATACTAGAAGGAGCTGGGGGATTTAGCTCAGTGGTTCCACCACCTGCCTCAAAAGCACAAGGTCCCGAGTTCGATCCCCGGTACTAAAAAAAAAAAAAAGTACCGCAGATAGTGGAAGGGCACAGGTGGCCAGGCACACTTATGTGACCAGATCCAAGGAATGTGGGGAGCAGAAAAACAAAATTATGGATCAAAGCTCACGGCTATGTACTTCACAGATTAGCACCCACCTTTTCAAGGCCCCTACATATACAAGGAACAGGTTAAAGTGAGGCTGCACATTTGGAGGCCACAGCTTCTAGGCCAGGACCTCAGAGGGCTCGGGATGGTTACTACCAGGCAGATAAAGGAGTGGAGGAGTAACAGTTCCAATTCCCTCAACCCCAAAGTGGCCATCCCAGGCAGAACAGTCAGGTTGGCAACTCACCAGGCAGCAAGCCCCTTGGCCACCACAAAACACCTTCTCCTCTGGTACCCACAGCCTCTGCCCAGCCTGGAGGAACCCGGAGATCACTCTCCACAGTTCCTCCACTGTGCACCTGCCAGGGGTGGTCTCCTGCAGAGTAGGTGGAAGGCCAAGGAGTATCCTGTGCCCATCAGGCAGGGAGAACAAGCTGGGGAAGCGAGCTGTCACCTACCCCAGCTTCGCTAAGCTGAACCGTACTGACATCGAGAGTTCCCCCATAGACAGCTTCATCTTTGGGGAAGTCAGACCCAGGGGCCATACTCGAGCTGCAAAATAGACAGGGACCCAAGGGTCCTCATAGGCCGGTGAGACCTCAAGCCCACCACAAGGGGTCTTTTGAGTGGCCACTCCTCCACTGAGCCTCAAATTTCCTGTTACTGACCCCCCCCCCAGCAAAGACAGTACAGTACAGGGAGGACGACAGCCCCGTTTGCACGGAGACCCCTCCCGCCTCCACACGTGGGCAGGGCCAGCCTCCACCTCCTCCTCTCGCGTGCGCTGGCCTCAAAGATAGGACCATTAAAGCTCCAGAAGCTCTTCCGCAGGTCCCAGGAGTCGGAGCCCGTAAAGGAGGTGGGGAGTGGGGAGGGCAGGCGAGGGAGGCCCCCAAGGGGCCTAGTCAGTCCTCTCCCCAGATTCATTCAGCCTTCCTCTGCAGAGAGGCCTCTCGGAAGGAAAGGCCCTGGGCCCCCACGGGGGTCTCCCGCCACCTGTCGGGTGCTGGCTGAGGTAGAGCCACCCAGTTCCTGGCTCATTCGGGGCGCAGGGGCGCCTCCCCTGGCCCCGGCTCCGGCGACCCTGCGGACCCAACCCGTGCTCTGTCTCGCAGACCCGCCGGCCGGGGCGCCCCCTCCCGCCACTCCGCCGGGTCGGCTGCCAGACCCTAGGACGCAGACAATAGCTGCCCTGGGTTGGCGGCTCCGCGGAACAAAAGCAGGTCTTCCCGGGGAGGCTGGTGTCCCCCCACATCCCCTGCCCAGGACCAAGTTCCCTCCAACCTGTCTGAGTTCGGCCGGCATCAGGCCGGGGATCCGGGGGGAGCAGGCCGGCGGGGTGGTGGCAGCGTCAGCGTCGGGACCGGACTCCGGCGCCTGGGCCGCTAGGGCTCGGCAGACTCGCTCCCCAAGGGGGCGGACCCGGCGGCGGGTAAGGCAAGCAGCCAATAGGGCGGGGCCGCGCCCAAGTGGGCGGGGCCGGTTCTGCCCCACCCCCACCCCCGCGGCGTAGGCGGGGCTCAGCAGCCAGGCGGATTCCGATTCCGTCTCCCAGGTTCCCGGCAGGGGTCTGGGAGGTGTCGCTCCTTCCCCAAGCAGTGGCATCTTCCAGCCAGGCGACTTTACTCAAGTCTGTCTCAGGCCTAAATATGCCCCCCGTAAATGAGCGCACATACACCCCTCTACCTATAGAGTTGGAGAAACCGAGTCCTTACAGAGCAGAGGCCACTTTCATTGGCACAAGTCACTCCTCCCATGACTCAGTTTCCCCAGCCTGATGAGGCAGTAATTACGGCACTGTCAGAACTGTAAGGTCTCTTAAGGCCTCTAGCCTCTGCCCAGCCCTTTTTCCACAGAGGCCTCCACAGATCTTAATGAGGACCTGGTGAATAGATGGTGGAGGACTCATTTTCGCGTTTGATTCTTCCCATCAAGACACAGAAGCCCAGGGTCTCCCCATCCTTTGAAGGGAGTCAGACTGGATCAAACGGGAGCATGAGACAACTCCTTGGTGACCATGGATGAGATAATCTTTCTGGTCTTGGACCCTTGCTAAAACCTGCTTCAGACCTCTTCTGTGTATTTGATCTACTAGGAAGTGGTGACGGAGACTGGGGGGCACATCAGAGACACTAATGATGCAGGGCTTCTTCTACCAAGGTGTACCCCACCCCAACCCCAACCCCTAGTAGCCACACCTGGGAGCCTAGGTACCTGGGAACCTAGGAACCGGGGAGGGGGGCTAGAGATAGCTTCCTGGATCATTCCCCAAAGGCAAGCCAATGGCTCAAGCATCATGAGTGATGAAAACAGTTCTGAGATGCACAGAGCTGGGACAGTCCTCCGAGACTCAGTGGGTCCAGCAAGAGGGCCATGGGCCTGCTTCTCTCCCTGATCTCACTCAAAAAAGTGAACCTTCCCTGAGGCCACATCCTGCTTCTATGATGTGCCCTGCACAGAAGTCACACAGCCAACATGTTCACGCACTCTGGGCGCCTAGTATGTGCACTTCTGAGCCTCAGGTCCGCCATCTGGACAGGGATGAGTTGTCTTGACTGATGGCCTCCCAGGACAAGGAGTAGGAGAACACACTGCTCTGAGAGAATAAGACCTTACAACTTTATCTTAAAGCTGATTCGGTCTTCCCAATTTTACCAACTGCTAGTGCCCCTAAACTAAGCTGGGCAGCCCTCCACCGGCTGAGGCTCAGCTCTGCTCCTGCTCCATGTTTCATGCTAGAGAAAGAATGGCAAGGACACTGGGATACTGGAGCTGCCCGGGGGCACAGCAGCAGTCACAGACCCTGGCTCCCCAGCCTTGGCCCCGAGCTACCTGCCTTGTCACTGACCCCAAGCTCTCATCTCAGAGACCCTAGCTCTGACCTGTGACTTAGACATAGGTCACTGGGTACCTTCTGCTGAGATTCATCTGGGAAGCGTGTCAGCTGGACATGGCCAGTCTGGTGCCTCCAGCAACTGGGAACACATACTCTGATCCCTGCCTGAGAAAGTCAAGGGCAAGGAGGGGTGGTGGCCCAAGGCCACACAGGCCTCAGCATCCAGGAGGCCGGGGCAGCCGCAGACTGTGGGAACATGTTCCTGCTAGGGTAATGACCCTCCAGTGCCCTCTCTTCCCACACTTCTCTGTGGGCTGGAGAGCACAAGTGGTTCCGGCCAGGGAGGGCTGGACTGAGGGCCTGGCGCCTAAGGGCAGCCTTAGGGTTACTGGCTGCCATTGTCCCCAAGTACCCCAGCTGGGCTGTTCTACTTCCCTTCTAGAGTTTAGGGAATACTGGAATTTTGGAATATTTGGGGTCTGAGGTTTACAGAGGACTCTTGCCCCCAGACCTACCTCCCTCAGTCCCAGGCTTCTGTGGCTGGCTGTGTTGCCTGCCTGAAACCATTAAGCACCAGATGCTGGGAAAAAGGGTTCCCCGATGGGTCTGAGGTCTTCTGCAGACATTCATTTGGTTAACTATGCACTTGTGATTCTGTGTGAGAGATCTCGAGTGGATACAGGAAAAATACCTGCCCATTGTCAGGAGAGAACAGCCTTAGGGAGCAGTTACTCATCCCAGGTCCTGGGAAACAAAGGATGGCAGCTTGTCTGTAAGCTCCACATGCCCTGGTGCGGCTAGGCCGAGCCCACCTGGACAGCCTCAGAAGAGATTAGCACCTCGTTCCCTTCTTCTCCAGCGACAACAGGCCGGACCAAATCACCAGCATTTAGGTAGGGAGTACGGTTTCCTGGGTTGGGGCCCAGCACGACTAGAGAAGAGCAGGAATGTGGCAGGTGGTAGGGATGTGTAGAGGCGGGGTGTGGCTGCCAAGTTTAGGAGCACAGGGAGCCAAGGATCCTACTGCACAGGCCCTACAGGATCACTGCTGAGAGCCCAGAGGACACAGCAGGCCAAGCCGAAGCTGGATGGGGAGAAGAGGACTCCTCTTCCACCGATGCTGGGAGAGCTCAGCCCTGACTCACCAACAAGAACTGCAGTCACCACACCAGACTGCAGGTCCCTGCATTTCTTCACTCTGTCCTCACCACCCATAGAAAGGAGAGGTTTGGTAGGAGGGGACCAAGAAGTCTGACTCCTGAGTGGACATGCTAATTTATAGTTCTCAAAGATTGGCCAGGGAACAGACAGGGCTGGGGCTGAGTAGGGCCTAAGTCCAGTCTGAGGACAGTGGCCAGTGGAGAAACTGATTCCCAGGCTAGCCTCTGAGCTGTAGACAGAGCCTAGATAGAGCTTTGCTCGGGGTTTCCTCCGGTGCTGACCCACTAGTGCATGCAATGAAGGATGTTAGGGCAGGGTAGACTCCAGGGTAGGCAAAACCCTCAGTGTCTCTGGGCTGTTCAAGGACCTGCCCAGAGTAGACACTATCCAGCAACCTGGATCTAGATGGCTCCCCCATCAGGGGCTGCTGAGCTGAGGGTCAAGCTATATAAGCCTGTTCTTCATACAGTGCCCAACATACCCAAGTGAAACTTTCAGACCTCTAGATGTCCCACTTTCCTTTCCTCCCCAGAAGTCCCAGCACGTCTTACAATAAGCCACTGCGTGATGGCTTGCAGTCTACCCAGGACCCCCTGATGGTTTCCCTACTTGGATATTTCGCCCTCCCCAAGTCAGTGGGCTATTACCTGCAAAACTAGTTGTTGCCATGCCATTGGCAGGGACTGCCCACTGCCCATACCACCACTGCCCATGCTAGGTTGCTGGGCATGCTCCAGCTGCAGGGCAACATGGCGCCGTTCCTGCTCCAGTGCCTGGGTCAGCCGCTCGAAGCGGGCTTCCTGCTCCTTCACTGAGGCCAGGATGCTGGCTGCCGAGTGCACGTTGCAGTCTTCCATGGCCAGGGCACCAGCCGGCTGCAGGCAAAGCAGAGCAAGCTTAGGAGGGGCAGAGAAGCAGCCAGTGAGGATGTCACAGGGACCCTGTCCACTCCACTCACAGATCATACGACTCACTCCCAGACCAGAGCATCTAGCTCTCTGGAGGAAGCTGCATTGATTAAATTCTAAATTAAAAGCCATTAATCCGAGACTGGCCGGAAGCAGCCAGATCTCTCCCTATGAGGCATGGGGCTCTGGCCCAGCCTCCTCCACTTCCTGCCAGGCTTAGCAGGATTGTGGACCATAGGTATCTCAGCACCTTGTGGGAAGGGAAGGAGGGGCTGGCCTGCTGATAAGTGCTCACCATCTTCTAAGTCCTCTGCTTCCCATAGCACATTTTGGGTCATTTCAATCTCACGGGACCTCCCGGTCCCTTCACAGAGGTGGCACTGAGATCTACATAGGGTGAGAGACCATCTGCAGCCACACAGTAGGTATGGCAGAGCTGGTGTAGCCAGCAGGCAGGAAGTGAGTGAGAAGTTGCTCTACTGCCACCAGGTGCAGGGTCTAGGCAGGTGCGGCAGGTGTGGGATGACCACTGCTTTGGCACTCCCAGCAACACTGGCCTGGGGACAAGGAGTCTGGCCACCACTCAGCCACTCCAGCATGGCTTCACATACCGGCTGACAACCAAGTCAAAGCCTGATTGAGGTTCTGACTGGGACCACATGAAGTTTACAGTCTTTGTGTTCACAAGTGGCTCATGCATGAAACCTGAGCCAGAAGAGGGCAGGGGCCTGAGAAACTGAGGCCCAGCATTCAGGGAGGGTCAGGTCTACCCAGGCCCTGACCTAGCGCTGCCCCTGTGGGTACCAGAGTTCCAGGGCTTAGCATTTGCAGCAATGAGCCAGCAATTTCCCCCCACAGCTTATTCCCCGGCTAGCCAGTGTGTTTGTTTTTCAGGAGCAACAAGAAGCATGCCAAGCACGCAGAGCCCAGATGGAGGTTCACAATCATGGGTGGGTGTGGCCCTGTGGTTCCAGTGCCCAGGGACTGGTGTGTGGCTCGATGCCCAGTGCTGCTTGAGGCTTGCTCCTGGCTGGTCCCATGCCAGCCCACTGAGGCCAACTGTGCTGGATTCCACACCCCTGCACCAATGCACGGCCTGAATTTAAAGGCTCTTCCATGAGGATGTCACAAGCGGTGGCTGATATCCACAGAGGCCTCACTCTGTCATTCACTGGCCTAGATGAAGCCTGCTGCAAAGACAAAGCGCCTAAAGAGAGAAAGGCCACTACTGGGCTTGGCCACCCACACCAGTGCTGGTTAGGCAAGAGACGTGGTACATCTCAGAGGTGAAGGGACACCATGGGGCCAACCCAACCATGACAGCTGGAGAAATTAAGGCCCAATGAAGGCAAGAGACCAGTGTAGGTCCTCACCGATTCTTTTCATTTCCCTTGCACCTGTCATACAAAACCGTTTAATATGACCTTTCAGGGATGCCACTGTGGGCAGAGGAAGTGTTAAGACAGAATGGACAAAACTGCAGAGGTGGTAGCCACCACTGGGGAGAGGGGCTGGGGAGTGAGGTGGAAGCCGGGTCCTCTGGCCACCACGGCATACAGGGACAAACAGCACAGCACAGCCACTCAGCACTCCTGTGTACTCGTGGCAACACACAGGCCCAGTCTAGGCACAGACACTGGGCCCATGCCTGTATGGACTGGGCCTGGGTTGGTCCCCCAATGGGTCTGGTGAGGCCTTCCTTCCTGGGAGAGCCAGGGTCAGTGGCAGGAACCAGGCCATGTGAGCTATTAGCCAAGTCTTGTTTACAGAGTTGGCCCATCTCAGCTGAGACTTAGAACCCGGAGGCAGAAGGGACCATGACACTGCTCCTCCTTGGCAATGATCGGGACCCCGTAGGACAACTGTTGGCCTTGGGGACAAAAGGCAGCTTCCTTCCTCCTTGTGCAGAGACACAGACTCCTGCCTGAGTAGGGTTCCATCCTGCTGTACTCCCCAACCCCCATCCAGCAGGAGCAGGTCTGAACTGCAGACAATGCCTTAAGCCCTCCTTTCACTTCAGCCAAGCATGCCCTTGGTTCTGGGTCCAAAAAGGCCCACCCTGAAGGGGGCCTACTGACTCCAGCTGGGAGCTGGCTGGGGGTCCAGAATTCCGAGGCCACAGTAAGAAGACGGTCAAACCCCACAATGGCTTTCCCACTGCCCGTTTCATTTCACTTAGTGAGAAATGACTGTGGGTCTCCCGGGTAACATCTCCAAACACTGGCCAGAATGGCAACACCCACAAGACAACAGACACCCGGGTGCTGGGCCCCTGCCATCTGCCCTGGCCCCTGCGCTCTGTCTGCTCCTCAGTGTACACTAAGCCCTGATGACTGAAGGCATCCAGATAGAGTAAGGGATACCTAGCACCCTAAATATGCTGGCTCTGAGTCCACATACAGGAACACGTGTGGATGGAGGTGACCCAGGCCCAGCACCCCAAAGGACATCTTTTCTAAATGGCATCTCAAGATGCTATTTTTGTATTGAAACAATAAATAGACTATGTGATGGAAAGCAAAATGCACATGAATGTTTAAGATCAACCATGAAGACTTCAAAGACATTTTTCCCAGCTGGGGCTAAGGCATGGAACTGTACTTCCTGGCTGGGGGTGGGCATGCTTCTGCTAGGAACCAGGGAACACCTCCCAGACAGACAGGGAAGTATATACTGGGGGTCCTCTCTGACCCAGGTCATGACGTCTACGCATCTGGGAAAGTACACCTCTACCTGCAGGTTGGGTCCCTACAGTCCTACTCAGACCACAACTACCAACTTCACACTTTCCTCTGAGGAAGCTACTTCTTACCAAACATGTCTATCCATGATATCGATTAAGCAACAAGGAATGATATATGGGACCCACAAATAATGACACAGCAGGACCAGGTGGCAACATGGATGTCCAGACCAAAAAACATCAGGAACCTGAGCGAGAGGTTAGGACGATCAGGACTGAGATTAAACCCTGAAAAATTCACTGCAAAAGAAAAGGGATAGACAAGTCCCAGCATAACACACGCTGGCTATCAATGCCCATTATGAAACCAAAAACAGCCTTGCGTACAGGAGGTGACACAAGGAAAGGAGCTCAGGAGGAGAAGCCAAGGCCCATGTCACATGGGCTTGAAGAGGGAGACGAGTCGAGAGTAAACCACAAAGAGGCAGGCAGAGGGATAGACAGGTGGGATAATGGGAGATGGACAGACAGGTGGGTAGACTGAGGCCTAGGAGGATTTGTGGATGTACACGTGAGAAGCTGTACTGCTGGAGGGAAGGCTTGATAGATTGGCAGATGGGTGGGTGGATAGATGGATGGGTGGGTGGATAGATGGATGGGTGGGTGGATAGATTCAAGAACGGGAGAACGGAAGGCTGAATGGAAGGAGGAGTGAACGGGAGGGAGAACAGGCGTGCGCACAGGAAGGTGGTGAAATGCTTACGTGAGAAGATGAAGGGTCAATGAGCACAGTTACATGGGTAGGCGGACGGTGGGGAGATGGGTGAAAAGCTGAGTAGAGTCTAGACTGGACAGATGGGGTGGGAAGGGGACGGATGACAGAGTGAATGCACAGATGGGCCTATGGACGGACGGGTGGTGGGGGCAGGCAAGTACCGTTAGAGCTCTGCCACACTCCTGCAAGGAGCGAGTCCAGGCTCTACGCCTGCCAGGGCAAATGTGGCCAAGGCCAGTTCTATCAGGAAGACAAAGACACCATCAGAAGAACGTGAGATAGAAGCTGAACCTTTCCCCTGAAACCAAAGCTGACATTTGACATCTTGCTGATCCAGACATTCCTCCTCAGGAGGAGTCCAGCCAAAGCTCTGCTCTGGAAAATCAAATTATGGGGCCAGAGTCCAATCTGGGCTGAAGAATTAGAGGAATTTCCTAAGAATCAGGCTAGCAGGGGGGCAGGCAGGCAGGGCCGGGCCCCACTCCTGAGCCTTTGCCAGCCCCGGAGGGGACCAGGAACACTGAACCTCCTTTCACCTCCACTCTATACTCTGCCCATGACACGATACCAGGGACATGATACCAGAAAGTGGCCCAACAGAGGTCACACCCAAAACCCACTTTCTCTGCCTGGGAGGACACGGTGCTCTCACAAAGCAGCCGCGTGCTGCCTCATCCTCAGCTCCATCAGCAGTTTTCTCCTGACATCCGTGGCCCAGGACTTGTGGGAACCCTGTCGTTACCACGTTGCCCCTACTGAAGGCAGATGGTGCCGAAAGCCTCAGGGATAGCTTCCAGCCAAGCCCACAAGAACAGGCACGATGTCCAGCCAAGGGCAAGGTGGGAGAGGAGGCCTAAGGCCCGGGGCTCACATAAGGTCGAGCCCATGTCCATCTGTGCTGAGGGTCAGGACCACAGGATCTCTGGCAGACAGTGCAGGGTCTGGGGAGGAGGGTGCTGTTCTCAGCCTCTCAGTGATGGAAGAAACTGCTAAGGAAGGATGCACCATTGTCACTTTGAAAAGCACCACACAACATGGTGGTTGTTATTTCTTTTCTTTTCTTTTTTTTTGGTACCGGGGATCGAACTCAGGTCCTTGCACTTGCAAGGCAGGCACCGGAACCACTGAGCTAAATCCCCAGCCCAGTTGTTTCTTAAGTGTGCCTGAGAGTGACAGGCAATGAGCACTTCAGATGGAGTAACGGGCAGAGGCGTCACTTGTGGATCACGATGTCAGCACGGCAGAGGCTGGTATGGGGAGGGTGGGACTCACTGCACTCCTCTCACGGCCTTTGAGCCTTTGTTATTTTCCGTAATAGAAAGGAGAGGGGAGCGAGGAGCAGTGGACTCCTGTAATCGCAGCTCTTCAGGAAGCCGAAGGTCACTGGAGCCCGAGAGACACTTTCAAAAGGGTGGGGGGTACAGAATACCGAAAGATAACTGACGTGCTGAGGCCAAATATTTGTTAGCATCTGGCAATAAAGTGACATCTTTAATCTATAAGAAACTT